AATTGGTTCATGGATACCGGAGCATCCCACCACATCACCTCTGACCCAGGTACTTTATCTCATGTAATTACTTCAAACATTAATTCTCCCTCGCATATTATTGTTGGCAATGGTTCTAAAGTGAGCACTACTGGTTTTGGTAAGGGCACCCTTCCCACATCCCCTCCACTAACCCTAAACAATGTCTTAGTCTCCCCCCATATCATACATAATCTCATTTCTGTCCGTCACTTTGCTCGTGATAATAATTGCAGTGTTGAATTTGACTCTTGTGGTTTCTCTGTAAAGGACAAATTGATGGGAGCCATGATTCATCGATCCAATAGTGACGGACCTCTTTACCCTATCTCGCAAGCGCCGTCCAATGCCTATCTCCATCTGGCCCAAGTCGATCTCCCCACCTGGCATCGTCGGCTTGGACACACCAGCCCTGCTGTTCTCCATGGCGTGTCGTCTTCTTTAGCTAGCTTTCCTAGATCAAAATTAGAATTTTTATGTCATGCATGTCAACTAGGCAAACATGTTCGCCTACCTTTTTCTTCGTCAAATTGTGTTTCAACTTTTCTTTTTCAATTAATGCACACTGATTTATGGCAATCTCCTGTTCCTAGCATAACTGGTTTTAAATTTTATATGCTTTTATTAGATGATTTTTCCCATTACTTATGGATTTTTCCCCTTCGCCACAAATCTGATGCTTACTCTCATCTTATTAAATTTCATGCTCTTGTTAAAAATCAATTTAATACAACAATAAAGTTTGTACAATGTGATAATGGCACTGAATATAGAAATAACCCCCTTGCCACATTTTTTGAATCCCTGGGAATACTCTTCCGTTTCTCTTGCCCTCACACGAGCCAACAAAATGGCCGTGCAGAATGCACCATCCGCACCATCAATAACACCGTTCACACTCTCCTTTTCAAGCTAACCTTCCCCCTCACTTTTGGGTAGAAGCCCTACACATGGCTACTTACCTCTTTAATATTCTTCCCACCACCACCCTTAACAATCGCACTCCTTATGAAGCTCTATATCGTACTCCCTCGTCCTACACCCACCTCCGCGTCTTCGGATGCCTCTGCTACCCCAACCTCTCTGCCACCGCCCCCCATAAACTCGCCCCTCGTTCTGCTAAGTGCATCTTCCTTGGTTACCCAGAGGCCCAGTGTGGCTATCGGTGCCTATACCTCAACTCACACAAGATTATCATCTCCCGTCATGTCACATTCGTTGAGTCCTGTTTTCCCATGGGACACCCCACCCTCTCCCACCTTTCCCTTATCGCCCACCTTGACATAGTATCGGAGCCTCGTTAACTAAGAGTCACCGGTTTGAAACTCTACACTACCCAGTTTAAAAAAATTAAGGTTTCACGTGCAAGTCTTGAAAAAAACTACGCCTGCATGTGAGGAGGGTTTTGGTTGAATTGGTTCCTTGACATGGTATCGAAGCCTTAATGACTAAGAGGCCATGAGCTCGAAACTTACCGCCACCCAGTTTTAAAAAATTAAGGTTTCAGGTGCAAGGCTAAAAAAGGTCACACCTACAGGTGATGGGGTGTGTTAGAGTACATAACAATCATTCTTGGGCCACAACCACAACCATTCCTGTATATGTATATGTGTATGTATATATAAATAAATAAATAAATAAATAAATAAAGGACTCTAGCATCTAGACCTTTATCCATAATGGATGTTGAAGCATCTAGCTGAATAGGTCTACCAAGGGTTGATGCCAAAGTAAAAAGTGCTCGGTAGTGGATAAAATGTAGGGGCAGTTGTTTGAAGGTAACCCAAATAGGAACTACAGGGCAATCCCAGTCATAGCGAAAGTTTTTAGTCCATTTGGAAACAAAGAGAAGAGTTTTGCCCACGTACTGCATAAATCTTATATAATCAGCCTCCTCTTTGAAAATGAACAAAAGTTCCTTACGTGAGAGCCTCCATATTCTGAAGCCACCCCTGAACCTTCTTTTCAACAAGAAGGCCTTCATCCCTAGCGGCAAGAGCTTGGATTGAGACCTCCCAACTACAGCGAACTTGAGAGAGCTGGCTAGTATGTCGTCTTCTTCAACAGAAAAAGAGGCCGAGGGCATTCCATTATGGAAGCCTTCCACCTTCCCTGAGGGTCCTAGCTTTGAACCAGAAAATAAATCCGAGAATAGCTTTGGGAAATGATTGGTGGATTATGCCTGCCAGTGGCTGCCGGAGTTGCTGCCGGAGAGTCGCCGGAGAACTTTCTCTCTCTAGAAGCCATCCACTCCTCAATACACACACTACTGGTGGTACTTACACATGGGATGGGGTGAGGAGCAGAGGCAGGGTTTGGAGAAGGCTTGACAAAGCTCTTGTCAATGAGAAAGCTCTGCCTTTCTTCAATGATATTTGCTCTTATATGTGCAGCAAAACAACCTCAGATCATAAACCTATTATGCTACAGTGTGCCATGGAGTCATTTAAGGGAGCTAAACCTTTCAGATTCCAGATTTTTTGGGTCAATCACTCAACCTTTTTAAAGGTGGTTAATGATCATTAGTCTACATTCCCCACGCATGGTGGGATGAGAGGGTTGGCTTCCAAACTTCAGGCTCTAAAAACCATTCTCAGAACCTGGAGCAAGAGTACTTTTGGTGACATCTTTGAAGAATTAAAGAAAGCAGAAACCAATGCACAGAGGGCACAGGAAGCCTATGAGACTACTCCGGAGGACCCTACACTCAGAAGCACAGCAAATGAGGCGTATGCTAAGCTTATAGAGGCCACTAATAGAGAAACAACTTTTTGGAAGCAAAAGGCCAACCTACACTAGCTTGAACATGGTGACTAGAACTCCTCCTTCTTCCACTCTTTTGTCAAAGGGAGGAGAACAAACCTTAAGATCAGGGCAATCAGAGATATTGATGACAAGCTCATTGAGACAGAGGATGGTATCAAAAGAGCTACTGAAAAACATTTCGAGGAAACTTGCAGTAACACTAAGTTGGTGGAAGCTGGACAAATCCTAAACCACATACCTAGCCTCATTACTAATGATGATAACAACATGATGTCTGCTATTCCAGATGAGATGGAGATTAGGAAGGCAGTTTGGGATCTCAACCCCAATAGTGCAGCAGGCCCAGGTGCGTTCAATGGTTGTTTTTTCAGAAACTGTTGGGATATTGTTAAACATGATGTCATAAAAGCTAGCCAGGAGTTCTTCATGGGTCTACCTGTTCCCCAGGCTTATGGGAGTACACTCATCACCCTCATACCCAAGAAGGAGAACTACACTACATTCTCGGACTTCAGGCCAATTTCCCTTTCTACATTCATGAGTAAAATTAACACCAGAATCCTAGCTACCAGATTATAAAAACTGATTCCCAATCTCATCTCTATTGAACAATCAGCTTACCAAAAAGGCAAAGGAGTTGAGATCAGGTACCTATGGCTAGTGAAATGGTACATAGTCTGGACAGAAAATGTGATGGAGGGAATGTGATCATCAAGCTAGACATGGCCAAGGCTTTTGACAAAATTGAATGGACTTTTCTCAAAGGTGTGCTCAACAGATTTGGGTTCTCTCCTAGTTTGTAGAATCTTTTACTAGCAAACTTAGAGGCCACATATATCTCTATTCTTATCAATGGCAGTCCCACTGGGTACTTCAAGATGAAAAGAGGAGTCAAGCAACGAAATTCCCTTTCCCCTCTCCTATTCATTATGGCTACTGAGGTTTTCTCTAGGATGGTCCATCACTTCTTTAACAACCACTATTTGAAGAACTATAACACTGGCAGAAGCATTCTAGTATCTCATCTAGCCTATGCTGATGATCTTATTATTTTTCTTAATGGAAGGGTAAGAAACCTACTCAGATTCAAACACCACATACCAGAGGACTACACTCTGGGATCTGGGGCAGGAGGTGAACTTCAGCAAGTCATGTTTCTTTGCAGGTAAACACTCCTCTCCTTCTACCATTGCTAGGATGGCAAAGGCACTGAATATGAAACATGAGAAGCTGCCAATTAGTTACCTCGGTGTCACCATACGCAAAGGTAAACTTAAGAAAGAACACTGCCAAGGTCTCATCAAACACTTTGACGCCTACTTATCCAGCTGGTACAACAAGGTGTTGACTCCTATGGGAAGACTTCTACTCATTAAACATGTTCTTTCCTCAATCCCCTTACATTATATGGCTATCCAAAGTTTACCAATTTCCATTATCAACTTGCTCCATAGAAATATGGCAAATTTTTTCTGGGGTTATAACAATGGCAGGCCAAAGCATCACTAGAGGTCTTGGGAGTCCTTATGTTGCACTAAAGAGGAGGGGGGAATTGGGATTAGGAATCTTAAGGATCTACACCAAGCCTACTCCCTTAAATTATGGTGGAAAGCACACAAAGATGACACGCTTTGGGCAAGATTCATAAGGGGAAAATACATTAGAAGGAACTCATATCAGGAAGGACTACTTGACTCACCAACTTGGAAGAGAATATGCAGAATTACCAATTTGGCAGATGAACACTCTTTTTCCACTAATGGCATCCTATCATGGGAAGATGGAGAGTTCACTTTAAATAAAGGGTACAATGTGGTTAGAGATACTGGAAGCACCCAAATTAGCTACAAATTTGCTTGGCACAAGCTACAGATCCCGCAAATTAGGGTTTTCTAATGGAAAGTATTAAATGAAATCCTACCTTTTCCACAACTCCTTAGGAAGCTAGGGTACCAGCTACCTTCACTGTTGGAACACACTTTTTGTGAAGTTAAACTAAAATCGTGTTCATTTCTGATAGGTTTTGATAATTGCCAAACCGCCATGCATATGAAGAGTTTCGTTGAATAACTCAAGGCGTGAAGAATGGAATGGAAAAACAAAATTAGGAAGCGGGAGAATGAAATTGGGAAGAGGGAGAATGAAATTAGGAAGAGGGAAAATGAATTTGGTGATAATTGGGAAGATGGAGATGAAATTTGGAAGAGGAAAAATGAATTTGGTGATAATTGGGAAGATGGAGAATGTAATTGGGAAGAGGGAAAATGAATTTGGTGATAATTGGGAAGAGGGAAAATGAAATTGGGAAGAGGGAGAATGAAATTAGGAAGAGGGAAAACTTCCCATTTTTTCTATGTACTTCCAGTTTCTTCCCACAACGATTTAATATAATTTGATGATATCTTATTTGATCTGATCTTGTCTGATCTAATATGTTAAGATCTAGTCTGATTTGATCTGATCTAAGTGAAATTATATGTAAGGTTGTTGATCATTTGATAAAATAAAATACTCTTGTCATCTCTTATTTTGTAGAGTTTTCGATGTAGTTTTTAAATATAATTTTATGTGTTATCTCTATACCAATTTGCAAAAAATATGATTTTAAAAACCACGAGGTTTTACACGTTAATCAAAGTAAGAAATTCTTTTTGGGACAGAGAAAGTATGAGTTTTGAAATGTTAAAAAAAGTTGTTTGGAGAGATTTAAAATAAGATCTTATATGACCAAAAATATGAGTATTTAGAAGAATTGGATCTGTGCAAGTAACCAGTTCAGTTATCAATACTGGTAAGATCAATCTTATACGGTCAAAAGTATGAGTATCCTTAGAAATTGGATCAATGTGAGTAACAAGTTCAGTTATCACTACTTCTAAAATCTTATTAGCAATTGGATCTGCGCAATTACCTTATTATTTTAAGAACCGGTAACTCAGTAAGATCTTATATGGCCAAAAATATGAGTATTTAGAAGAATTAGATCTGTGTAACTAACCAGTTTAGTTATCAGTACCGGTAAGATCTTATACGGTCAAAAGTATGAATGTCCTAAGGAATTGGATCAGTGTGAGTAACAAGTTCAGTTATCAATACTTGTAAGATCGATCTTATACAATCAAAAATATGAGCATTTAGAAGAATTGGATATGTGCATTTACCTTGTTTAGATATTTTTTTTGAAGATTATATTTGATCTTATTGGATTTGAATTTAATTTGAATTCAATCTAATTTAATATGATTTTATGCATTAATAGATTAAATCTGGCAAACAAAACACAACCTATATAATTAAATTATTTTATTTTGAAGATTTGATCTGATCTTAATATATTTGAATTTGATTTGATCTGATTAGATCTATTTTGGTCTGATTCAATCTAATTAGATCTGATATGATGCATTTAAGGATTAGATCAAGCAGATAAGACACGACCTGTACAATTAAAATTGATTTTTTTAATATTTGATCTGATCTTACTAGATTTGAATTTGATTTGATTCGATGTTTTTTTTGAAGATTATATCTGATCTTATTGGATTTGAATTTAATTTGAATTCAATCTAATTTGATATGATCTTATGCATTTATAGATTAAATCAGGCAAACAAGATACGACCTATATAATTAAATTGTTTTATTTTAAAGATTTGATCTGATCTTAACTAGATGAAAGAAAGAAAAACAAAAGAAATAGAACAACAAAAAATAAAAAAAGTAAAAAACTTAAAAAACTTAAAAGTAAAATTTCTATTCACGCCCAACCAAATCGTGAGACTATTCACGCCTAACCAAATCCGATTCTTAATAAATTTGTAACGTTCTAGAAACCGGTATAGAAATTAATGAATAATTAAATAAATAAGAATTATTTATTTACGACAATCTATTCTTTTAAAGAATTAAAAGATATTTTGGAGATCCTGATCATCTCAATATAACGTAACTAATTTGATTGTATTTATAAAGATTTAAAATAAAAGACTGATCGGTACTAACTAATCGAAAGAATTAAGATGGACTAGGTGGAACCTATATATGGGTAGGGATCGACGAATCAAATCCAACGATGCAAACAAATCTCAATTCTGAGCAAGTTGGCCCAAAAAGTGTGTTTTACTCAAAGACATTATTTTAAATTAAGTAGAGCAAAACCCTAGGCATATATATACTCTTTACACGCATTAGATTTGGGCCTCCTTCCCCGATCGAGACACGCCGCCACTAGACCCTCCTTCTCCAACAAACTCCTATCACCGTCCCCCGCCACCACGACATCACCGACGGCCCCCTTTACATATGCGACCAACAATGACGCAAGCAACACGGACAGAGGCAACGAATTGGATGAGGGCAGCAGCCTCCGGCGAAGTCCAGCAGCGACGGGGAAGGGCGATGTCGCGAGGCCAGTCGATGGAAACAATTGGTCAGCGGCGGGCGACCTCCATCTTTGACGGAGAATTTCCGATCAGACACAGGAGTGGTGGTGATCTCCACTGGCGACGAGGGTAGCAGCGGCGAGAAGGGGGGGGAGTGGCCTCCACCTTTTCCGGAAAAACAGTGGGGAGTCCAGCGAGACTCCTCTGCTCCGCCACGCCATGTTACGTCGGTTTCTTCAATGCCTCAAACGAACATAGCCTAAAATGTATCCATTTTACGCTGGTGTGAATGAGTTTATGGGTGTGATGATTTTGAAGAAACGAAATCTATTTCTGAGATTTTTAGCCTTTGTTCATATAAGAAACAAACCTATCTTGGCGTGGCATTACGGATTCAACCATTGTTGCAGCCATGGCGAATTCGTTTCTGATATGACTCAAGCACAACACTGGATTTCAATTCTGAACTAAAACGAATTATGGCTCTTATTTTTATGCTTCCCAATTTTGTTACAGTGATTTTTAGGCTTTGTTTGTTTGAGGCAGTGAAGAAACTTGAACGTAACTTGGCGTTGGGTTACCTTACTTACCACCATTATACCAGCAATGGCAATTTCGTTTCTTAGATTGCCTCAAGTGCATAAATTTTGTGTGGGTGTGTATAAAAATTCACGGGTGTTCAGATTTTGAATTTAGGAAATTAATTACTTTGATTTTCAGGTTTTTACAGTTCGAGGCATTGAAGAATTGAATGCAACTTGGCGTGGCGTTACGAAATTAACCACCGTTGAAGCAGCCATGGCAATTTGGTTTCTTTCGCTGCCTCAAATGCCTAAATTTCATGCTAGTGTGAGTAAAAATTTTATGGCATATGATGATTTTGAAGTTATGAAATATGTTTCTCTGATTTTCAGGCTTTGTTCATTTCAGGAAATTTAAGAAACCAATGTAATATGGAGCGATGTTACGCAATTAAGCACTGTTGTAGACTGTGATTTGGTTTCTTAAATTGCCTGAAATGTAGCCATTCACGTGGGCCTGTGTATGAGTTTATGGCTGTGATGATTTTCAAGAAACGAAATCTGTTTATGAGATCTTTAGTCTCTTTAAGTTTGAGGCATCGTAGGAATGAACGTATCAGGGTGTGGCACTACGGAATTAAACGTTGTTGCAGCCATGGCGAATTCGTTTCTAATGACTCAAGCACAAAACCAATTTCAAATCTAGGCTACAACGGTGGTTAATTCGGTAACGCCTTGCCATATTACGTCGGTTTCTTCAATGCCTCAAACGAACATAGCCTGAAAAGTATCCATTTTACTCCGGTGTGAATGAGTTTATGGCTGTGATGATTTTGAAGAAACGAAATCCGTTTATGAGATTTTTAGCCTTTGTTCATATAAGAGACAAACGTATCTTGGCGTGGCATTACTGATTTAACCGCCGTTGCAGCCATGGCGAATTTGTTTCTGATATGACTCAAGCCCAACACTGGATTTTAAATATGAGCTAAAACGGTTTTAGGCACTGATATTTAGGCTTCCCAAATTCTGTTACAGTGATTTTTAGGCTTTGTTTGTTTGAGGTAGTGAAGAAACTGAACGTAACTTGGCGTTGGGTTACCTTACTAACCACCATTATACCAGCCATGGCAATTTGGTTTCTTAGATTGCCTCAAGTGTTTAAATTTTGTGTGGGTGTGTATAAGAATTCACGGGGGTTCTGATTTTGAATTTATGAAATGAATTAGTTTGATTTTCAGGTTTTTACTGTTTGAGGCATTGAACAATTTAATGCAACTTCGCGTGGCGTTACGGAATTAACCACCGTTGAAGCAGCCATGGCGATTTGGTTTCTTTCATTGCCTCAAACGCCTAAATTTCGTGCTGGTGTGAGTAACTATTGTATGGCATATGATGATTTTGAAGTAATGAAATATGTTTCTGTGATTTTCAGGATTTGTTCATTTCAGGCAATTTTAGAAACCAATGTAATATGGCGCGGTGTTACGCAATTAAGCACCATTGTAGACTCCATTTCGATTTGGTTTCTTAAATTGCCTGAAATGAAGCCATTCACGTGGGTCTGTGTATTAGTTTATGATTTTGAAGAAACGAAATCTGTTTATGAGATCTTTAGTCTCTTTAAGTTTGAGGCATCGTAGGAATGAACGTATCTTGGTGTGGCACTACGGAATTAAACGTTGTTGCAGGCATGGCGAATTCGTTTCTAATGACTCAAGCACAAAACCAATTTTAAATTTGAGCTACAACGGTGGTTAATTCAGTAACGCCACTCTATATTACGTTGGTTTCTTCAATGCCTCAAACGAACATAGCCTGAAATGTATCCATTTTACTCCGGTGTGAATGAGTTTATGGCTGTGATGATTTTGAAGAAATGAAATCCGTTTATGAGATTTTTAGCCTTTGTTCATATAAGAGACAAACGTATCTTGGCGTGGCATTACGGATTTAACCGCCGTTGCAGCCATGGGGAATTCGTTTCTGATATGACTCAAGCCCAACACTGGATTTTAAATCTGAGCTAAAACGGTTTAAGACACTGATTTTTAGGCTTCCCAATTCTGTTACAGTGATTTTTAGGCTTTGTTTGTTTGAGGCAGTGAAGAAACTGAACGTAACTTGGCGTTGGGTTACCTTACTAACCACCATTATACCAGCCATGGCAATTTGGTTTCTTAGATTGCCTCAAGTGTTTAAATTTTGTGTGGGTGTGTATAAGAATGCACGGGGGTTCTGATTTTGAATTTATGAAATGAATTACTTTGATTTTCAGGTTTTTACTATTTGAGGCATTGAACAATTGAATGCAACTTGGCGTGGCGTTATGAAATTAACCACCGTTGAAGTTGTTAGAATAAAAGACCAACGCTAGAGGGGGGGTGTATAGCGTTTGATCAAAAATCGCAGGAATAAAAATGAATTAAAAGAGAAGTAAAGAGACGAGTAAGAGGCGCACCGATTTTACCCTGGTTCACCACAACTTGTGGCTAATCCAGCCTCCCAAGAGACTCTCTCGAGCTACACTACTATCTCATTAAGCTTAACGGTGCTTAACAAACCCGTACAACTTGAGAGTTCGAGTCACACGAACCTCAACAGATCTTCGAAGGAAACAACCCTTCCTTCGAACAACAAGAGAAGTACTTTCTCTTGTCAAGTGTCTAAGAACACTAAAAACACTCAAGAACAATACTCTCTCTTAGAGTGGATAATGAGTAACTAAGAACGCTCAAGAACGCAACACAAGCTTCACAAAAATGGCTCTCAAAAAGCTATGAAAAAGTGATGAATGATTTGCAATGAAAGAGTAGAAGTTCTGAAGTTATGTGATGATTAAAACAGACCCAAACACCCCATTTTATAGTGGAAAAATAGGCTCCAACGGACCAAAACATTTAAGGGGTGATTGGCACAATTTGTGGGATTTGATTAAATTTGGATCTGCTGAAATTCACCCAGACAGCGCTGTCATAGGATTGGACATTGCTGTTCTAGGCTTGGTTTTTTAAAAATTGGGAAGCAACGGTCATGCCAACAGCGATGTCCAATACCCCTACATCGCTGTTTTGGCTGTTGACTTCCAAACAAGGAAAGTTTTAGCCTTAAATTTCTTCCAACGGTCAGGTCCCTACATCGATGTTCATTGCTTGAACATCGATGTTTAGGTCTGACTTTTGAAGATGGAAGTTTGGCCTGACAGCGCTGTTGCTGGGTCAACATCGCTGTCCAAAAACTTTCTGCCAATGCACTGTATTTTTGGCTTAGGTTGGACAGCGCTGTAGGTAAGCCTACATCGCTGTTCCAGATGTTTCTGGAAATCCAACCTTGGATCAACAGCGATGTCTAACATCCAACATCGCTGTTGGAAGACTTAACGCCAAACCATGGTTTTCAGCCACCCAAGCCAGACAGCGCTGTTCGTTTCACCAACATCGCTGTTGGGCTGGTTTAGCCAGACCCATGGTTGGTTTAGGCAGCCGTTAGCCGATATCAAAAATGTAAGTTCTCCAAAATAAAAACCAAGTATTGAAAATGTTTGTTTATTGTATTTTGCTAAGAAATCAAGTAAAACATTTTGAAAACCACGTCATTTAGTTGAAAACCACGGCTAGCCAAGTTTATGCCGTTTCGCATGGTTTTCACTAAACGACCAAAAACGAAAGGTGGTTTTTGAAGCGTTTTTGTTGGAGAACTATTTAAACATGCCCAGAAGTAAAAACTAATCATTAAGAGTTGAAAACCACTTGGTTGGTTTGGACGCCAAAAACCAATGCCGATAACCGAAAGCCGAACGCCGGTTTCCGAAGACCAAACGCCAGATGGCTTGGTTTTTGGTTTGGGCGAACTCCAAGTGTTTTTAGGCAGTTTAACACTTAAGAAAAACATTTTTGAATATGCAAAAGATATTTTGATGAGAGAAGCCTAGAGAGCCAAGATTTGAAAGTTGTGCCAGTCTTGATCACATTAAGACCGACTCAATACAATTCTAATTCTTCGTTCTTGATTCTTGGTTCTTGGTTCTCAAATCATCATGCCATGTTCCTTCGCCTTGGTTTTTCTCACTTTAGCCTTGTTATGGTCACGGGGGTTTGGCATTATCAAAACCTGTCATAAGACGAACACGGCTTAGTACGACATAGGCGTAAACCCGTGTTCCAACAATTTCCCCCTTTTTGATAATGGCAAACAAGATGGGGATATGCATACTAAGGGATATTTGATTTTCAGAAAGTTGTGAAAAAGTTCCCCCTTAATTTGTGCTTTAAAAAATATTTAGTCAGATTAAAATCAAACGGTCTCGTTTAGAGAGGCGTTCCCCCTTAGTATATGCATAGCCCTTTTCTTTCCCCTTTTGACATTAACAAAAAGATAGAAGATAATTTTATTTATTAAAGGAAATAGCGGAGTACAACGGAAGCATTAAAAGACAAGATAATTAAGGTAAAAGGGATAGAAATTCTAGGGGAGTCCTAGTCTTCGTCTTCGGTTTCCTCCTCGTCATCGTCAACGTCCATCTCATCCCCATCGATGGCATCGTCGAACTCATCTTCATCCGGGGAGCTTGACGGGGCGTAGGAGTCATCGGCTTCGTCCTCGTCACCGTACACTTGCCCAAGGAACGTGCCGTGGAACGGTGGGGGGACGTAGTTGATGCCTTGGAAGTACGCGTTCATGGCGTACCCTTAGCGTTGAACAGCTACGTCGAGCCGTTCAAGGTAGCCTCCCATCCCGTCAACTTTGAGGTGGAGCCGGTTGAGGGAGTCGGCGATGGAGGCAAGATTGGCCCGGGCCTGGGGTTCGGCTGGGCCAGCGGCAGGGGCAGTGCGGTGTGGCTCGGCAGTGGCAGCCACGGCGTTGTCCGACCGCTTGATGAAGGCTTGGTTGCTGATTGTCCAAATCTTCGTGGCCTTCGTGAGCGGGCCAACGGTGGTGGTTACCTTGAACCGTTCAAGGATGTCCATCACCAAAAACGGGTACGGGAGGAGGTGGTCGTACTCGGTGGACGCGGCAATCGTCATGTTGATCATGACAAACTTTGCCCAAATGATTGGGGCCGTATGCATGATCGCATGGATGAGCTTGAGGTCATCACCGTGCATGATGGTGTGGCCGTGCTTCCGGGGTTTGATGATCCGGGAGACGATGTAGAGAACGAGACGGCCTTCGGGGTTGGCGGAGTGAATGGTTGGGTGGCCTGAGGCATGGCGTTTGAGCTCGGTGATGCCAAGCTCGTTGAGGATAAGGCCCTCGTTGTTGAGCACCCAATCCTCTCCACCATAGTGAGACACATCGTCGCCTTGGAAGGGGAGGCCGGCGATGCGCCCAAGCTGCTCCACAGTGAGCTCGATCGGCGTGCTCTTGATGAGCGAGTAGAGCACGTCGTCCTCACGCCGGAGGTTGGAGCAGAAGGCCCGGATCAGCGCCGAGTTGATCTCCTTGCGCGCCCGGGAGACGAACGGCCAAAGACCGGCTTGATGAAGCTGTGCGTCAAGGTCGTCGTAGCCCTGCAGCTCCGGGTAGCGCTCCGGGATGATCCGTGGGGGAGCCACAACCCGTTTAGAGAAGAAGGTGAGGAATTGGGTGCGCTCCTCCTCGGAATCAAACCAAAGGTAAGTCCCGTCGCCATAGTAGAGGCGCTCCTCGGAGGATGAAGTAGGCGCCCGGGATTTGGACTTTGATTTCCCGAAGGTGGCGGCCCTGCTCTTGTCCTTGCCCATGATGAAGAAGAAGCAAAAAAAATCTCAAAGGAGGAGAGTAGAGATGATGGAATAAGCAAGGATATTGAAGAGAATAGTGTTTGTGTGTGTAAAAGTGAGAAGAGGGGGTCCAAATATATAGGAGAGAGGGTGGCCAACGTTCAAAATTTTTAAAAAAGAGCTGTTGGAGCTTTTAATGCAGTTGCAACGGATATTTTTTTGAAAGATTTGACCGGAACAGCGATGTTCTACAGGCGACATCGCTGTTAGGACAGCGCTGTTGTGCCTGATACAGCGCTGTTCTGCGTCGAGTTTAAAAAACTGGAGTTAAACAGACAACGATGTTGAGTGTAACACCCCAATCCGTATAACCCGGAATTACACGAATTAAGGTGAAACGAGGGTTAAATAAAAATTTCGCTTGACATTTGAAAATGACAATTACTGATAAATATTAAATTTACAGACTCTGGATCGCGACCCATTTAAAAATATTTTCAGAGAAATGCGGAAGTACAATAATAATCAAATCATGACACACTTTAAAATCTGTTGACCAAAACATTGCCTGCCATCCTTGCATCTCCTCTGACTCAATTTCCTCCGGGAAAGGTTCCATCATTGTCTTCTTGTTACCTACGTGTAGTCAATGAAAAATACAAACTACACGCTCAGCGAAACCGCTGAGTGGTACCACGCTAGAATTGTAGAATAATTCATAGACATATACATTTACATATATATGTCCACAAAAAGTATAATAATAATATTCATAATATGGCACACTATATCATATGGACAATTTAATGAATCATGATGGTAAATATTTAATGATAATTACACGATGGCACAATTAATCAAATTGCTTGTGAGGATGATTACATGATACTTATGTAATAAAAGATGTACTTGATGATAACATGATGCATGATTCTAACGAGCAAGGACACCCTTGCGCTATGAAATTCGCCCATTTGGTACGACGAACTCACGCGGCCTTAGTCTCTCAAGGGAGACTAGAAAGTAGGGGTGGTACTCAAAACCTGAATACCATGTACGTACACTAAGCCCGGAACGGGTGATGTCGGACTAATAAGTCCCGCACATCACACTACAAGAGACGCACTTCTGCCTGATCTCTTGCGCATGCACATGATGTGATATGTTTCAATATGGATGATGAAATGAATCACATGATATGAACAATTTGTAAACAACATGATTGGATAAATATACTTTATTTTATTTGGATGAAACTTGATAAAAATATCATTTAATTAAGCTACGGGGCTCGGAACGGTCGACCGTTTGGAGGGACGGTCGACCTTGATCTTCTTTGCATCGAGATGCCGGATTACTGTGACGGTCGACCGCGGTTGACCGGCGGTCGACCATTGTTGACTGGCTGCAAATGGCGGACTTCGGCTGGGCATGCGACGGTCGGCCGTCAGCCACCGGCGGTCGACCGTTTGGCTGACAGTCGTGGTCCGTTTCAAAATTTAATACGACGGTCGACCGTTTGCGTCGACCGTTTGGGTCTGCGAATCCATCTCTTGATATTTTGAGTGTCCAAAATACTTCTTTAAGTCTTTTAAACACCTTTGATTGAAATATACATATTTTTGGGTTGATTTCAAATGTTTATATATACTCACGTATTTATATAATAACTTTATGGATTTGGTGTATTATGGTCTTAACACAAAGATGACTTATATATGCGTCACATATATATTTTGGAATGATTTCAACAAATGGATTAACATATATGTTCATGTACGCATATGATGAATGATTCGACAAGTCTAACGCAAAGGTACAGACCTGGAAATCATCGGCCGAAACCTTACAGATGAGCGAGAGTGGAAACAACATCGAAATTTGCCAACTTTGTCATTTCCGTCACAACTGGACAGCCTGCGGTAATTTGGGCATATCTCCATCGTTTCTTCACGGAATTGCTAACCGTTTGATTCTGTGGATTCCTAATATGTAAGGCTACAACTTTCATATAGAAAGTATTTCGTTTTAACATATGTAAGATAGCGTAAATCAGACCTGAAGTCAAGGGATAATTTCTGTCTAGAATTTCGGGTATGTCGATGAACATGATTCCAACGATTAACTCACTAACTTCAACATTCCAACACCGAACTTTCTTTTCAATACCTTCCGGATGTTCCTAATAATTGTTAGAGAGTTTATGGTAAGTATTTGGGATGAAATAATATGAATTTGGTGAAGAAAAACATGCCAACCCGAGGAGCTTGCCACCACTGGCGTAGTCCCGGTATTTTGGCCATATTTTCTTCGTTACTTAACGAAATCGCGAGCCGTTTGTTTGTCTGGATTCGTATCGTCCGGGGCTACAACTTTGATTCAAGAAGTATTTCGAGATAACGGATGGAAAATTTCAGTTTTTACCTAGAAGTGGGCTGCTGTGTTTGAACTCAGGATTTTAGAAACTATGGATGGTTTCTTCTTGTTTCTTCTTCTTCTTGAACCATCTATGGAGGAGGCTGTTTTCTTCTCTCCATGAAGTTGCCGACAGTGAGAGAAAATGGAAAGGAGATGGATGCATGAATGATGGTTGATGAATGGGATGATATTGATGATGGTGTATAATGATGAGGATGGTGGTGGAGTATTATATATTCATTGTTGGAGTTTTGTGTTAGTGGAGAATAAATGAGGTGGCTAGTGGGGAACAAGGGTGCTAGGAGTTGATCCGTGATTGAGTAGGAATCTTAGAAAATGAAGTTTGGCTTTTAGTCCAAACTGAGTAGTTTACCCCAAACGGTACGCGCTTTCTCGCCCAAACTGCTCCGAATTGAAAACGGATTGTGTTTTTGGAATGAGACAGTCAAAACTAGAATTTTGACATAATCAAAATATTTTTCTAAGAACTTTTATTTTTCTTAGTGTTCGGGTCTGACACAGTCATAAATCAATTTAATAATATGAATGATATAAAAATATATGAATTAAATCCAAATGATAAATATGGTGTTGTCAAGTGTCAAAATTATGACTTATAATCTTATTAAATCACCTTTGGATTGAGTTTATTTTATGGGTCAAAGTTACAAATTTTAATATTTAAAATTGACATCACTTGAAATCTATAAATCAGATTGGTTCATAAACTTTACCGTTGGATTCGTCTATTTGAGACGTATCCATAAAAATAAGTTTTTAACAAAAAGTCATTATTTTGAAAATCATTTATTTTTGGTCAAACCTATAAATATTTCTTATTGGACGAAAATTACTTTTGTTTTATAATAAAATTTAGGCCATATTTCGTGGCGTTACATTGAGTGCCCTACAGCGATGTTTCAAAAGTTTCTGGAATTGTGAAAGGGTTTGAACCCATTTGAACAGCGCTGTTGGGGTCTATACATCGCTGTTTTGCGATAAAGGAAAAAAAATTTGTAAAAGAAGGACATCGATGTTGAGAGTGAGACATCGCTGTTCAAAAAGTTTCTGGTTTTGGTAGAAAACAAAGTGTTGGGTAGACAGCGATGTTTAAAAGAGAACATCGATGTTCAAAAAGTTTCTGGAAAGTGAAGATTTAAGGGACTCCTTGGGACAGCGCTGTTGACTTATTGTACAGCGCTGTTGGAAAACTTTCTGGATGACGGTGTTTCTCTCAACAGCGCTGTTGGGGCTCCTGGACAGCGCTGTTTGCATGGTTCCCCCTGATTTCATGAACGGGGTACCTGCGAAAAAAGAAAAAGTTCTCTGACGCTCAAGTTAGTAAACGTTTAATAAATTTAGATGCACAACTTAGATCATCGTGGAGTCAAGGATTCCGAGTTCACTTTGAATGCGGAAGAACGACTCTTTCTCTAAAGGTTTTGTGAAAATGTTGGCTAATTGGTTGTGTGTTTCAACAAACTCAATTTCGACATCACCTTTGAGAACATGATCTCTAATGAAATGATGCCTAATGTTAATGTGTTTCGTCCTTGAGTGAAGAACGGGGTTTTTCGTCAAGCTTATGGCGCTAGTATTATCACAACAAAGAGGGACGTGATTGATACTAAGGCCATAGTCCACGATTTGTTGCTTCATCCAAAGGATTTGAGCACAACAACTACCGGCGGCTACATATTCCGCTTCGGTTGTGGATAACGCAACACTGACTTGTTTCTTACTAAACCATGAGACTAGAGAGCTACCAAGTAAGTGGCAAGTCCCACTCGTACTTTTACGGTCTAATTTGCAACCGGCAAAGTCCGAGTCGGAATAACCGACGAGATGACAAGAAGAGCCTTTTGGATACCACAGTCCAACGTTAACCGTGCCGACAAGGTATTTCATGATCCGTTTCACCGCGGTTAAGTGCGATTCCTTCGGACATGATTGATACCTCGCGCAAAGGCATACGCTAAACATGATATCCGGCCTACTAGCGGTAAGATAGAGAAGGGATCCGATCATACCTCGATACTTTTTGACCTCTACTTCCTTACCTTTCTCGTCTTTGTC